ATATTTTGCGGCCTTTTGATCTTTGAAAAAGGAAAGGGTTGCAAATGAAACTAAGACAAGATAAATATGGGTTGAATTAACAGTAAAAGCCTCCAAGGAGCACCAGAAAGCATTTATTTTTGTTAAGAGAGCTCATCAGTTGGGAATGATAGAAAGGAGAAAAAACAGGGTATATTAAATTAATTATAGGATGACAGTGAGTCAACATGACGAAGCCATGGAAAAGGTAAATACAATCCCAGGATGCATTAGGCAAGTTTTTTTGGTGGCATTAAGGAAGCATTAATATTGTTTGGCAATACACTGTTGAGGCCTTAACTGGAGCATAATATACAATAATGGTCACCCATGATAATGAAAGATGAGCTGAAACTGGCAAAGGTGCAGAGATGCACTGTTAGGATGACTGGGGGCATAAAAAGCCTGTCATATGAGAGGACAGGGCTTGTTTAACTTAGCAAAACAGAGGCTAAAAGGGGTTCTGGTCACTGTCTGTAAATACATCAGGAGGTTAAAAACCATGGTGGGAGGTGAGCTATTTAAGCTAACAGACTACACAGGCACAAGAGCAAATTACTATAAACTTCATGAATACATTTAGGCTGAAAATGAGATGGTGGTTCCTGACCACTAGAAGAGGAAGGTTCTGAACAACCTGCCAGTAACAACAGTGGGGAGCAAACAGCTTAACTTAATTTTAAAATGGAATTTGGTGATTTTGTGAAAGGGATTAAAAAGCAAGGGCTGGACTTCAGGACATGGGAGGTGTCAACCCACCCTGTGTTCCTGTGTCTTGATGGTGAGAATTTCAACAGTGCTCTGTAGACATTGGTCTAATTTTACTTCCATTGAAATCACTGATTTACTTCAGTAAGAGCATTCTAGGCTGAAAATCCCATCCTGTGTCTTGGATTTTGCAGTCTGGGTGTTCTCCTGTACACAGAACTCAGTGGGCAAGATTCTGTAGCTGTATATGGAGCTCTAATTGGCTTTCTTGGAAATTTTGCACTATCAAGTTTTGCAGCATTGGAACCAACACAGATATAGAGGTTTAAAAGAGGAATCCCTTTCTAGTAAGCAAAGCAAACAGATCAGAATTAAAGTTCCCCTCAAGCTTTCATGTTGTTCCCAGCTCAGCTCTATGCTGAGAAAGTAACCTGAGTGCTACAAGGTCCCTTATCCCCTATGCTTCAGATAGAAGCACACTCAGGGTTATATTAGACAGCACCACATCAGCAAAAGAGCAGCTTCTAACTGTCCAGATCTATATTTATGCATTTTATGTCATCAAGTTACACATCTGAACCTGATAGGACATCAAAGTCTTCATAAATACTATTTACGTCTGTTTGTAAATGAATAGAAAGGGAAACAGGAAGCTGAAGAGAAACAGGCCAGAATGTTTGTCTTACAGTTACAGTACTGGCCACATGTTTTATAACAGATTTTCCCCTTGCTCAAGAGCATCATATGCAGGGCATTGCTAGAGGAAAGATAATAAAGTGGGTGAACCTGTACTGCTACCAATATGGCAGTTCCTGTTAAATGTTTTTGACCCAGATGGTTAGTATACATTGCAATGCGAGCACAGTTTGCAAGCTCAGAAACGGAACACCTTTCTAAAAAGGAATAGAAGTGATGACATGATCCTTAGTGTGGAAGGTTTCAAGGTATGACACTGCATATAATATACTTTTTTATGCATACAACTAATGCAGTTCTATAATTGTATTGATACAAATGTACCTTTGTTATTGCACAGCATATTTCATTCTGAGGAATGCCAAAATGCTGATCAGATAGCATATATGTTTGCATAAGAATGCCACGAATTAACCCCAAACCTGTCTGCAGGGATCAAAATGAAGACTTTAGCACTAGGAATATGAGCACCTTCCACAGGAACCAAAGCAGTTGTTTATTTAGTTGGCAGTTGCTATCATGGGAGCTAGCCACTAGATGGCGATGTGATTACATGCACTGAGTCAGGGCAGCAAGATTGCATTATGTACCTAGTAATTTAAAGTTTGAGAATCATTCCCATTCTACAGATGTAGAAACTGAGGTGAAGTAATTTCCTGAAGGACATTGGACATTAAACATCAGTGTAACACAAGTGCACACTTGGGGGAAAGTCTGTGGGAGGATACAGATCCAGCTGTATCACAATATGAGGCAAGGAAAAGAAAAAAAATATGGCCAAAGACTCTGGGGCAGAAATTCTCCAGTTATGTTTTGTGAATCTCTGGCAGCTCATGGAGTGCTGGCTTTTCACATGATCACTTCTCTTCTTGTTCCAAAGAAGCAAAGAAAATAAAATGAGAAGCAGGAGGAGGCAGTGAGATGGACTGTACTGTAGTCAAATAGAGCAAACAAACAATACTGCACCAAAAACAGCTAAAAAGACTTCCCTAATATTACTGATCCATGTCAGTAATCGTTACAGTTCTGGGTTGTTATGTAATCACTGATGAAACAATTTATCAATACAGATGTGTTCCATACTCTGAGAGTGCTTGAGAACCCCATGCACCTGTATCTTCTATCTCAGCAAGCCCTTGCTAAGCAGATAGATTTGCTGTTATTGAGGTCTCATTGAGGTATCAGGGGACTGCACACACTGACCCAGGAGGTCCATTTCAGTCTTATGTTCCTCCAAAAGCTCCCCAATGAAAATGACAATGTAGAATAGCTTCACTGGGAGCAAAATTGCTAGAGAATCAGTGTAAGGGCACTCATCAGACTCAAAGGTTTGCTACATCTCTATTTTGAGCATGCCTCATCCTGAGTCTTCAGTAACAAAGTCCAAACATGGTAGGCAAAAATAATAATATTCCAGGAGGTTTTAAAATGGGATGAGATCTATTTCCGTGTTATAAATATTTCCTGTAAATATTTCCTGACTTCTCCAACTCAGCATTTTTTTTTTTTTGGTGGTGGGCATGGGGAGGGACTGGACACAGTGCTGTAATACAAGCTTTTTGTGAGGCAGAGGTTAATGGTGAAGGGTATCAGTTGCATTTGAGAGAGATGCCAAGCAGACTCAAAGCTCTTTCCATCTAAATAAAGACTGCTGAATGCCATTTTATTCTGATGATGTCTGCATTGTATCATTGCAGTTTTAGGCATGGAGCAGAGTGCCAACTGAATTGGCTTTTCTCTTATTGAAAACCTATTTTATTTTACTGCATTGTGATTTGGGAATGAATTTAGGAAATGCCATGGCCCCTTCCCATCCTACAGAAACTTGAGCAAAGCCACAAAATCTGAGCAACTGAGCTTTCTGTAGTATATTCTGCAAGTAGGGTATATGCTGTACTGAAATAGTCCTCTTGAACCATGCTCTGGATGCTCAGTGTGCATAGGTAATTTTTAGTGAACCTGCAGCCAAAAACCAGCAAAGGTCAGGAGTTTTTCCACCCCAAAAAGACTGCACAGTGGCCATTGCACAGACTTCTTGCTGAGGTCCACTAGGGTCTTAATTCCCTGGTGGTGCATTCTCGTGTGTGTGTGTGTGTGTGTGTGTGTGTGTGTGTGTGTGTGTGTGTGTGTGTGTGCACGTGCAGAGACTCTGCATCTGCACCTGCATTGACCATGTCAATGCTGGGCAGCAGCAACCTGAATGGGAATGAAGGGTTGGGAAAGTCTGTCCGTTTGGGTTATGGATGCTGCCTTGGGGTTTATGCAGTGAGAGTCTGACCTGTAGCTAGGTATGCAGTTAGCCAAAATGGGGCCCATTATTTCTCAAACGTTTTGTCTTCTCAGAGATGCATCCATACATCTTGGTAGTGTGATTTCACAGTCTCTAGTCACAGTACTGCTGATGTTTATTTTTCCACTGAATATATGGTTCTTCTTTGCCATCTACTTAGGCTGAGTGGTGCATCACCTTTCCTTGGAGAAAATAAGCAGGAAACTCTTGCCAACATCACAGCTGTGAACTATGAATTTGATGAGGAATTTTTCAGTCACACCAGTGATCTGGCAAAAGACTTTATCCAGAAACTCCTGGTGAAAGATACACGGTAAGAGAAGATACAAAACAGTGTTTTGCCTTTTTGCCAGGCAAAACTGAACATGCCAGGCTGTTTACAGAGCTTTCTCTCCAGAACATGTCACCATCTCAGAGTGATGTGTTAGGCAAAACTGTGTGGCCTGAGATGCTCTTCTTTCTTTTTCCCTGATGTTCCCATAGTAACAGCAACATGAGTATCTGGCTAATATATGCACAGACCAAGAGTTTAAAGCCAAAAGCATGTTTTGACCTCCTAATTGGTCTTGCAACTAAACTGCTGTTATCTCATGCAGCACAGACCCTGCT